CAAAACTGGACACAGTATTCCAGGTGCGGCCTCACCAGCGCCGAGTACAGTTTTTTACTTAATAAGATATTTTTGCAGTTAAGTAAACGGTTTGGCCTTATAATAAACAGCAGAATCACTTTTACTGTAGGAGTTCAAAACAGTGTTGGAAAAACGTTAGTCATGGTTGTCTAAGGTGGACCTAATCCTGCTTTGGAGGCGGACTAGAGGCACAGTATTCCAGGTGCGGCCTCACCAGCGCCGAGTACAGTTTTTTACTTAATAAGATATTTTTGCAGTTAAGTAAACGGTTTGGCCTTATAATAAACAGCAGAATCACTTTTACTGTAGGAGTTCAAAACAGTGTTGGAAAAACGTTAGTCATGGTTGTCTAAGGTGGACCTAATCCTGCTTTGGAGGCGGACTAGAGGATACCTTGAGGTTTATTCTACTATTACATCTTTTACATAACAGGACCCCAACACATTTGCAGGTTGCACTGAGCCTGTCTCGAAGATTTAAATGCTACCTCACTTTTCATCACGCGTACAGAACTCTCTTCCAAAGAAACAAGTTACTCCCCATCTCTGGTAACCTTTAGTAGCTGATGGCTGGCCCTTATGCCCTTTATTTTCCATACCCTGGTTTACATTTCTAGACTAAAAAGGAAACAATCTGGTGTCTGTTGCAGAAAGTTCAAGTTGTTGCAAGATAATTTTGCTTTGCACATGTTTCTGTTGCAGCCAAACTACAGCGCAGCATGGAGAAGACTGACCCAAGCCCTAAAGTGCTAAGAGCAAGACAGAGTTTTAGCATGTTTCTCAACCCATTGGAGCTCATGAAGTTCTTGCAGTCCCATTTCCAAGTGTTGGGCTGTATACAGATGGCTAAGGGAAGTATTCGGTTACCAGGCTTAATCTGGTGCTCAGATTTGAGGACAAAGATGAAAATGCGGTAAGGAAGACAGGTCCACGCAGCCAGCTTTGTAAAATGTGAATGGACGACTCCAGAAGTAGAATGAACTTCAAACTGAAACATTCCAGAAAAGAAGGGATAAAACATTTGTGTTATTTGAAGAACTTGCTATGCATGCATGATGAGAGAATATAAACTCCCCACCTGGTGTTTGTAAAACATCTAATACTAGAATAAACCTCAAGGTATCCTCTAGTCCATCTCCCATCTCCAAAGCAGGATTAGGTCCACCTCAGATAACCATGACTAACGTTTTTCCAACACTGTTTTGAACTCCTACAGTAAAAGTGATTCTGCTGTTTGTTATAAGGCCAAACCGTTTACTTAACTGCAAAAATCTCTTATTAAGTAAATTCATGTTGCTGCAAATTGTATAGCTCTACTTCAATGAACATGGAGAACAATTAATCACCATTTGCATAAACACATATTACAAAGCTGTAAAGACTGTTACCAGGAAGACTGTTAGATTCACTCTCAAACCCTTTGTTTTCCAGACTAAACTCTCCTGCAGTCTGTTTGGTTTTGTTGCCCCTTTTTTTTTTTAGGATTCTTTAAGTATTCTAGAGGTGATGTCTACATACCCCCCAAATGTACACAACACAGATCACCACAGCCGCCCATGGCATTTGGAATTTTTCATATCACCCCCCTATTGCTGATCCACCTTCTGTTTGAGGGCTGCAAAAACCTCCAGATTGAGAACAGCTGCTTACACAAGCATTCCCGAGCTGCTATTTGCATTTAATCTGTCCTTCCAAGTGCAGCCTTTTACATCTACCTTCACTTAATTAGACCTTCTTGATTCCTCCCATTAACAAGAATAAAAATTATATTGGAAAATGTCTTCCACTTAAACAGTTTCTAAACTGATGTCATCTGTAAGTGTTCTAAGTTTATTCTGCTTTTCATCACACACATTATACCTGTAAATATTGCATAGCACTGGTTCAAACCTCCACTTTGAGGATCCTTTAGCCTTGCCAAAGAAACGGTGATTACTATTGTATGAATGTAGTTCTTCAGTCAGTTGTGTATCCGTCTTAGAGAAGTTTCAGCCAAACCATATTGCTCTAATTTATTTACAAAAACTGTAACAACATCCAGATACACACTGTCATGTTGCCTCACTCCTACCCACCAGGTCAGCTGGAAGTTAGACTGGTGTTACAGAGATGAAGTTTCCTTGCAGCCTTTGCCTACTGTATTAGCTGAGGCTATAACCAGGAGAGAAGTTAGATACTAGGACACAATATTCTTGCGATTTACCGTTGTTGGCGGGTGGGGGGAAGTTGTTTTTTGTTTAATGACAGCTGCTCACTTCAATGAAGCATTTTAGGAAGTCCCTCTCCTGTTTTTAAAGCCTGTAATTGCCCATCAGACTGCAGCATGGGTTGGTTTTTTTTTTTTTTTTAAAAGAGATTACACCAGCATTACAACTTCACTTACAGCTGCCTCTAAATTCTCAGGATTACTGCTTTAAAATATTACCACTGGATATAGTCAGCAGTTCTAAGTTCATCGGCAAGCATAACTTTCATTTTACATCTACATAATTTTATAAACAAATTAAAGAACACTTGTTTTCATAATTAAAATATTAGAATAACTGGTAGTTGAATGCACTCATCTTTGTGCCTAGTCAAGCCTTTACATGCTTCCGATGTTGATTTGCAAATCATTTTCAGATGCATGTGCAGGAAGACTCATGTCACTGAATATTGAAAAGTCTGAAAGATTCTCTTACTCAGCTTTTGGGATGGTTCAAAGACACAAGGAGAGGCAAACGAGATGGACATGTTATGAAAAAGTGCCACTGCAGGGAGTAGTATTACATATTCCTTAAATATGTTAAAATAAACATATTCCATATATACAGAATCATAATAATTTAGCTGAAAACAGCCTGTCAAGAAAGTAAAAAACAAGCTTTTGTAGCTGTTTAATCTTTAGCTTCCTAGAAAAAATAACTGCAGGCCAGAGGGAAACAGAAAAAGAGAAATCTCTTTCAAGTTTCTGTTCAAGAGAGGAACCCAATACCATGTAGCTGGGAGACCTAGCTTAACCTCGGTGCCTAGAAACAGCAGCAGAGGATCAGTGCTGTGAAGTTCATCCTTAAGCAACTTCTTAAGTGAAGAAACTCATAAGAAATGATGAATTTGAGGCTGTTTTCCCACTAACTGCTAGAAAGAACTCTCCTTCTTCATCTGTATCTTTCTTAGCCGTCCAGGGGTTTCCCAAGAACAGATTCAAGTGCTCCCACTGTACTTCATCTACAAATTGCCACCCTATCACACCTATACAATCCCCTGCAATGTGAAGATACCAGAAAGCTTCTCCATCAGCCTGCATACCCACACCCAAAGCAGCAGCCAGAATTGACAAAACTGACAAACGCAGTATTACCAACAGGATCCTAACTGCATTAAGATGAGCAGACAATTTTGACCAAAACACTCTGGTTACATTTTCCTTAGAGGTCTCTTTGTCTCTTTTATCTGCTCATCAAAAATAGGGAGCAGAAATGCAGAGGCAGAATGAGTTTATGCTGGTAACGGAATATACAATTGTTCGGTTTACTACACAGTAAGGTTTTGGCTTTATTGTAGCATTTCTTTTTTTCCCCCCATTAACAAGGTTTTGAGCACAACACTGGTGCTTATTAAACCTGTTTGTCATTTAGGCCCATTCCTTTTTACCAACTAATGCATTTAATACAGGCCCATTTTATATTCAAATTATTTATATCTCCACTTAGTGTTTCTTCTTCTAGATAAGGGCACTTCAATTGCCTTGGCCTTAGAGAGTCATACTACCAAACTAATTCACTCAGTTTATGCCCCTTTTATATTCAAAATCTTTCAAATTTCTATTTTGTATTTCTTCTTGTAGGAGAAGACATCTCAACTCCTTTGGCCTTTCTTGACAGTACAGCTATAATCAGCTGGAGAAAATACCAAGGAGAATAACTATCCACATCATTCTTGAATTGTCGTGGTCAGAAGGGGGTATTTAAGGCTATAGCCTTACAGGGCTGAATGATGACACCAATTCTAGTGCTTGTTGTTTACAGAAAATACTCCAGCTTAGGATTCTCAGTCTGTTTGCTTTTTCTGCAGTACCGTTGCCTAGCAATCACTTCCCCATTCTGTACCTGTTCTCAGTACTGAACTTCACGTTTATTTCCACACCCACTTCTTCCACATCACCTCTCCACTTCATAACGATCATTTTGAATTCTAGTCCTGTCCTTGTACAGCTTAGGGTCATCTGCAGAATTAATAAATGCACATTATAATTCTTCATTTGAATATCCAATGATACCAGATCTGCTGGAGACAGAGTACAATAAAAGGCTTATCACCAAGTTCATTTCCCACATCCCACATATCAAACCATGATAACCATTGCTGAAATTGCACACTAGAAAATGGAGCAAGCAAACTGTGAAAAATAATTTATTGTACTAATTTTAAACGGTCAGTAACCTTAATTTTGTGTTCAGAGATAAACAATTCCAAACATGTCTCATACAGGCAAATATTTTGTGAGCTGTTTTTTTAACAGCCTCAGCTAAAAACATCGTTGCAGATCAACATGAGTGCCAAGTGATAACTCACATTGTACAAACTAAATACAACAAGCAACCATCTTCTCTTTCCATCTCAAACTTTGTCTCCCACAAGAAGCATTCACCAGGTAAAGGCAGGCACCAGGTGCTGTACCATGAGACAGCTAAGGTATACCAGTCACTACCAGTATTCCAGTGTCACCTGTAGTTCCGGTCCCAGACACTTCTTGACGTTCAAAGGCATCCAAAACATTGATTTTACGTCTGACATTTACATTTTGTCATTAAAATTAACATTAGTGCTTCTCCAACTGGATCCTCTAGCATCTTCTTTTTCTCTTGGGGAGAGATACTTCTGAAAGGAAATAAAGAGATTTTTCTGACAAGCTTTTCAATCTACCTTCCCTCATGGGAATAATTAAAGTAGAATTAATTCTGCCCAGGAAAGGAAATTAATTAGATGAGCTCTTGAGATCCCCTCCCAATCTCTCTCCCCATGGCTTTAAATATGAAAAAAAATCTTTCTAGATTTTACAGCACACTATCATTCCAAATATCAACTAAAATTCCATTGATGAACAAAATACTGTCCTTCAAAACTTATTCAATCTTGAGAGCTTCCTGCTCCTCATGAACACCTTTAAGATTTCATTGCAAATTTGACAAATTGGATACTCACAAAATTAAGCACAAAATACCTGAAGAGATTGCTTATAGTTATTTTTAATGCTTCAGAATTTGCTGGCAAATTCTGAGAAATGGAGAATATTCCTGATATAGAATGAAACTTTTTGTCCACAACAATTTGAAGGACAAGTAAGTAAATTAAGTACAATATTAAAACACAGCATTGTGCCTTCAATCTGATCATTTAATTCACATTGTCTACAACTAAGGTGATCAGAGAATGTAATCTCATTTCAGTACTACAAGATGCTCTTTTGCTTTTAAAAAGAGCAAATATAAATGTGCTACCTCACTACAAATGTATTTTAATAGTTATTATGCTCCCTTGTATGAAATATCCTTCCATTACATACAATTTTGGATAGTAAATTAACTTCAAAAGATACACTCCTCACACTCATCTATGTCCTTTAAAGCCTTCCAGAAGCTGCACTTAACCCTTTGCTCCCCCTTTAAGCAACCTAATTAAATCCTATTCTTTCAGGTTAAGAACCAGTACCTCTGGTCTATCAAGTCTGCCTTCTACTACATAAGCAAGACCCATCAGTCTTAGACTAGCTAAAACTGCCAGTGGAAATCACACCTGGCCAGCTCCTCTCCCAGGAACACCACTCGTGTTCGAGCCATGGCAGCAAAGCAGTACCCTCAAGATAAAGACAACGCAATTTGCTTTGTACAGTGTCTGTTCCATGGTGCTTATATTCTCTTCAAGAAATACTGAGAACAGACCCTGGAGTTTCTGAGTTGCAGACCAGTTCAAGATCATCTAACATCTCAATTTGTACTACATGCATTTGATGCTTCCGTAGAGCAACTCCACCACCAGCTTTAAGAAACCTGCTTTAGCGTTGCTTCCAAATAAAAATTACATTATTTCCAGTAACATGAGTGATAGCAAAGTCATCCACTCTGGTGCTGTGGTTCCCAGAATCCTACCCCACCTATGTCAGACAACTTCTAATATAGCAAAGGACACTATTACTGTACACGTATACCGGAACTCAGTCCTTGAAGCACTGCCTAGCTGAAAGTAAGGCTATAGGGGAAACCGCTATGTCCCCTCACTTCCACAAAGGTGAAGGCACCAAGGGCAATTCTGACCTCCAGCACAGGTTACGTAAGTTCCCAGAACTACTAGAACAGGTATCTTCTGTAAGTTGGGAAATGACTGAAAAATCACTTTTCCCTATACACTGGAGCTCTTCAAGCCAGATTTGCATTAGAGAAGAGCAAGTCTCCTTTAAACTGAACCAATTTTAACTCTGAACACACTATAATGAAATCTACCTAGAAAAAAACATGACTTGCAGGACTTTGCCACAAGGTATGTGCTTGAAACTTCATTACAGAGCAAAGCCTCAATTTTCTTGCAACTATTTACAGGCTAAAAACTAACCTAGCTTTTGCAAGGCAGCAACACATGGTCCAAAATATGAGCTTTAGTTTCAGAAAAATACAGTGTAGTAGAAAAACAAGTCACTGGTTTGTTAGAATCTCAATCATTGTACCTTGTTCATCCGAGTTATCTTCCTCTGTGATTATAGGCATCCCAATATGCCGAGTAACAGTTTCCTTTGCCACTTGCATTTCACCTGCAGATAGATATTTTAGGAAAAACTGTCAGCTTTTTTTTTTGCTTCTACATCTCAGGTCCAGCAGTTAAAAGATTGTTCACTTGCTAGTCAAAGGCTGTGGAGAAACACCTCCATTTCACACTACCTTCATATGGCTCACTAAAGAAACCTGCAATAACAAGTAATTAACACTACACATTTAAAGCATACTAATCACCAACTCAGCCCAGAGACAATTCAAAATGCCCTTATTCCTCTCCAACACTTCATCTACTGTTTGAAAGTGAAGCAGAGGCAACATCACCTAATGCCCCCCTCTGAAGAGGGTTGAATTTTCTCAGTAACTTCTTTTCTAGCAGAAGCCAAGTAAGTCAGAAAACAGAGTTTGGAACTTTGAAATGAAATCCCTGTCTTTCAACTAAAGTTCATTCAAAACTATTTTGTTGTTCAATTTAATTTAACCTTTAATAAGTAAATTAAAACTTAAACTTTTAAACTTGTATCAGTTTAAAAGTTGGATATCAGAAAGACGATTTCCTTCAGAGAAGTAATTTCCCATGTTTTCAGAACAGGGAGACAAAGACATCTAAAGAAAGTCCTGGAAGACAAAAAAAAAGATGGATAAGCAGGGATGTGCAAATACCTAGAAAGTAGAACTGCACCAATCCAGATGACATAAATGCCATGATAGTAAAATAACTAAATCAATCACTGGTCATTTCAGATATACCAAAGATCAGCAACACCAGATAGGATCTCTCCAACAGAGACCTGAAATAGATAGCTGATCTCCCTCTCCTTCCTCACCTTCTCTTTTGATCTAACAAAGACCCTCACACCAGGTCTTATACTTCTCTCACATCAAAATGAGTCAGTCCTCAAGTTCTGAGACTTGATCTCTTTCAGAATATATTAACATAAAGGATGACACCATGCAACAAGAACCCACATAAGTGGCTAATCCTTCAAGTTCTTGGCCTCAGCATCATACTTTCAACAAACTTCACAAATAACAGAAATGAAAAAGATATTAATTTAGCAGCTTTGGATCAGGTAAGTAAATTTTTTTGAAAAAGTTCTGGCCTGAGGCAGAAAGGAGTTCCCAGTCCAATTTTCTTACTTTTAAAAAGATTCTCCATATCCTTGCTTACTCCATTACATTCTGTTTGTATTTATTCTCTCTATAGGCATTTTCACTCTGTAGGCAGCCATTCTTGTCACCCACAAAATTCTATCCTCTCCACAGCATTCAAGGGGAGATTTAATATTCCATAGTATTTCTTGTTAAAAGTCTGAATCTTTTTCTGACTACATTAAGCAAGGGCCTTCACTGAGCACATACAGGGACATCCCAATGCTTCTTGTATCAGCATAGATAAACCAGAACGATATCAAGTACGAGCAGTTAAAAGTATTTCCTCCCAGGGTGTGTTTCAAAATAAGAAAAAAGGTCCCAAAGATTGAACGTAAGTACTCTGTACCTGTTTTAAAAAAGTTTGCTCCTTAAAATCAGTTTTATTCCTAGCTAAAATTATAATGGTCAGGAGAAAGAAAATAGAATTACAGAACAGAACCACAAAAACCGAGTCACAGGTGTATAAAAAAACCTCTATAAACTAAACAAATCTAGGACTGTTATAATGTACTAATTGCAATACTGAGATTAAGGAAACAATTTGATAAGAGTTTTGAAACTACGTCAGTTGTTGACAAAAGATTTGAATTCACATGGAAGTACTAAAAATTTCAGTAACAAAAGATAAAATAAATAACAAGTTATCAGATGGAAGGAAAATGACTGAAGTGATAGTGCAGGTACTAGTCTTACAAAGCAATCATCGTCATTAAGATATCAGCATCATTTTCTCTTCGGAAATATTAGAGGATATTCCCTCAAGAGCTCAGGAACAGAATAGAAACAAGCAAGGTTTATTTTGGATTTCATGAAGATAGTATGAACTATTAGAATTATGATAGGCTGATTTTCATCAAAAAGATAGCTTCAAAAGTAGAAGCCATCTGTCAGAAGAAGAAACAGTTAGACACATATCTTAATCTCCAGGATGTTTGTTATATGGCAATAGGAGAAATTAAGACACTGCTACACAGGGCATGCTTTTCCAAGATCATGCCTTTCCAGAGAAAAATTAGCAGGACTATGTATGAGACTTCAGATTAACAATAAACTGCATGAATTCACATTGTCTTGCTACCTGACGAGAGTGTGGAAAACAGACAGAAAGGTTCAGTTACAATAGGGGTATCACAAAACATTTCTTTAACCTTCTATCTCCACTGATCAACAGTGAAATTTAACCCAGCTGCCTCAGCTAGCAAAGCAACGGATAAACTTCTGCAATCTCTCCAGGTTCACAAATGCAATAGAGAAGTACCTTTGATTTCCAAAGAATCTCTCCTCCTTGCTGGCTGTGGTCTCCTACTGTTTTTTTTACTTCGGTTTGGAGATTTCCCATAATTCAATCCTGATTCAGAAGATTCTAATTTTACTTGACGATGCCTTCTGGATTTGGAAGCCTAGAACCCAAACATACATATGAACAATACAAAAAAGCTAAACTTCTACAGCCAGATATTACTGTATGTCACGCAGTACTTTACAAGTCAGCAAGGACCAAAGCACCAAGTTCCATGTCAGGGTGGAGAAGGGATGGAAGGAGCGGGAGGGATGGAAGCGGAGGATTCCCACTAGTTACTGTTCTTCAGTTTTAACAGGACAATGCCCTTCTATGATTTAATGGGTGTTATCACTTAAAATTCAGGTAATGAAACATTCATTTATTTTCAAACCATTCTCTCTTGGCATCAACCTACACCATGTTGCACACTGCTGTGTGCAAGCAAAAGCAACGCTTCCAGAAACTGCTGCACCATAAAGCCTCCTTACTGTCATATTTTGCTTAGGGGCCTAGAAAACAGTATTACTGCATATTCACAAGTCTGAACTATTGTACATTCCAGAGCTCTGTTTCATTTAATAATGCATTTTTCAATAAGAGATTTTAATAAACAAGGAAAGTTGTGATGTTTCTCATAGGCCTGCTATAAAAAAGACAAATCAAAAATATTTTTAAAGTAGCAGTTATTGACACAATGTTTCCCAGAACTTCCAACTGACTTTAAACCCCCAAGTTCCATTTTCGCAAGCATCTTCAGAGACTGCAATATCTAAGCTTCAAGGAATTTGAGCAATTAAACTCACGAGTATTTTTATTCCACCTATTTAAAATTCCATCTACTTAAACAGAGCGTAGACACTGAAAGATACCTTGTAAATTAAAATCCCCCAAGCATAGAGTATATCTGCAATGTTTCCATAAATCTAACAGGAATAATAAGAGCTTCAGGTTTCCCCAATGTGTTAGGAAAACTAGAACATTCAACGGCTGAATTACACAGTGCAATTTTGACTCATTCCTTTCTGACTCAGCATTTACGTTAAACTGGTACTTAAAACTGTTCTTTAAAAATAAATACATCCCTATCATCAAATTTTGTACCTACCTCGACAACTGCAGAGTAAGACCTGTATTTGATTCTAGCCAATGCATTTGCTCTTTCAGAACCCTGCAAAGAAACAAAGAGATCAGTCAGAAAAAGTTTTCATGTTCTATTATAGCAGTATTGAAATGAAGTATCACATCAGACAATCACTTGAGTAATATCTCACTACAGCTGTAATTCTATAATTATAATTAGTTCTATATAATTAGAATGCCGCCAAACTGTTGCTTAAAGAAAAAAAAAGTTCGAATTTCGTTAAAAAGGCAGACTATAATTCTGGTTGCCTTCACTGTTACAAAGCCCAGGAGGAGAAAATCAAATTTGAAACTTCACATCTTACTCAAATTCAAAGTTGAAATAAGCAGGTAAGTACAATATGAGATAATTTTGTAGCATAAAAAATGGATATTGCATTTAGTTGAAACTCCAGGAGGAACCATAAAGGAGTCTGGCCAAGAAAATATAGCTCTTTCCCCTCCTTACCTGAAAGAGACTTTTTATTATGAGCATCCAAAAGCTATCACCCCAGTGAATGCTCACAGCTTAAGAGAAAACAATGAAATTTAAAACCAAACCAAAACAAAAAAACCCAACCCAACCAGCCCCACCAGCTATTCCTGTAACTTACTTTGACACTATCAAGCCTTGACACACACTGCTTAGCCTGTGATCCAAAGTCAAAAAACTACTGGATTTGGCCTGCACAACATAGCAAACTAGTTCATTTTTCTTACCTCTGATTCTAGCAAAGTCCCTTCTTCCTTTTTGTTTGATATTTCATCAGTTTCTTTAGCATTTAGGAATAATTTCTGAAAAAAACAAACCCACGCACAAAATAATTTTCTAAAATGTCTGTCATATACAAGTCAGCTCAAATCCAAGAACTGTGAAAAACAAAACAAGAATTTACATATATGCCCATTTTCTTCATCGATTTTACACTATGGCCTTTCCTTGATCCAAGAATAAGTGTCACTGAGGTGCTGGAGCGTGTTCAGAGAAGGGCAACAAGGCTGGTGAAGGGTCTGGAGCACAGGTCTTATGAGGAGCGGCTGAGGGAACTGGGGTTGTTTAGCCTGGAGAAGAGGAGGCTGAGGGGAGACCTTACTGCTCTCTACAACTACCTGAAAGGAGGTTGTAGTGAGGTGGGTGTTGGTCTCTTCTCCTATGTGGTTAGTGATAAGACAAGAGGAAATGGGCTCAAGCTGCGCCAGGGGAGGTTTAGGTTGGAAATTAGGAAAAATTTCTTTACAGAAAGGGTGGTAAATAATTGGAACAGGCTGCCCAGAGAGGTGGTAGAGTCACCATCCCTGGAAGTGTTCAAAAAACGGGTAGATGTGGCACTTTGGGACATGATTTAGTCCAGTCTACCCTTGATTGGCTTAGAGTAGACTTGGTAGTGTAGGTTAATGGTTGGACTGGATGATCTTAAAGGTCTTTTCCAACCTAAACGATTCTATGATTCTATGATTCTATAAGACAAGAATAAGTATTTCATATGGTCATTCTAATACTGCCCCTAAGTCGCATCTTCCAGGGCCTACCTCTCAGCAATCACTTATGTTATCATAGAGGCGGTACCAGATACAAGTCTATGTCCTTCTCCCCATACCATAACTCCACCTAGGGTTTTACTCATTCCATGTCTTCAGTGTTACAGTTCCCTCTACTTAAGTCTGAGGTTTATGAAGTATGCACAGAGGTAATTACACCGAGACAGTTCTTACATGTTCACACAATCTGTTAAGTTGCCACAGCACAGTATTACCTACCATTCTGTTCTGCTGCCATTTCTGATGTTCCAAGGTTATGTCTTTAAGAGTAACTACAAATTCATCTTTTATCAAGCTCAGGGCCTTGTCTGGCTGGGATTTGTCAGCTGAAATGACACACTTCATTTTCTGATAGTGGTCATGAATATTCATCAGTTCCTAAAATAAAAAACAGAGAAGACTCTCAGGAAAAAAAGATCCCAGCAGTAAAGCAGTATTAGTCCTCGGTGAACAAAACCAGGGTTATACAAACCATTCTAAGGAGACCACTGAACTAGCAGGAGTGTTAGGAACAGATGCTGTTTGTATCAGTTCAGTTCTAGGGAGTCTAGCAATACTGCTACCTAGCACTGTCTCATCAGTCCATCAAATAAGCAAAAAAAGAAAGAGTATCTTTCATTTTTTAAACTAAGAAAGAAGCCTCAGTGATATTCAGGATCAGTGTTCACAGAGGTTTCATTCTGATATGGTGGTCTATTTCCATCTCTTTGGAGGAAGCATTTTAATTCCTCCTTTTGAGGAAGGTCTTCTCACCCTGTCATTTCACGGATTACTGATTTTTGTATCACTGTAGTGAACGTTACTGATGATACATATTTGCTAGCATCCACTGGAAAAACCTGTAAACAAAGATCTATTACTGAGAGACAATGAGCAATATAAGAACATACACTTGGCTTGAACTACTCCATTTTTTAAAAAATGTATCACATATTAAACAAAACCAAGTTTTAAAAGGAGAAATAAAGGTTAGAGAAGGCTATAAACTTGCAGATGAGTAAATTTATATCACTGCAAGTATCAAGCCTCCAGCTGCAACCTGCAGACGTATCAAAACAACCATGCTTCCCCCCACCCGCTGTTTTCCATTTTTCTCTGCCTAAGTGAGAGCTGACCATTTATACCCTTCCCCTTTTACATCTTACTGAGGCAAAACCATAAAACATTAGAGCATATTTCAGTATTGAAAAAGGTACCACAATCCTTCCAAAATAAATGCTGTGTTTCTAAGTGTTCAGTAAAATTGCTGGCACAGACTATTACCCTAGTCTGCATTCCATAAGAAGACTTACAAAGGACAAGACCATGCTAATTGGAGAAGTTATAGCTCTTGGACAACAGAAGAAGACAAAACAAAGAAAACCCTCAGTGATTAAGCTGTAGTTTAAAAGCTCCTGTACCTCCAATACGTCATTAGTGATGAGGCTGTTTACTCTGTTACTTGGGTCCTTAAATTCCTCTTTAAATTCGTTTTCCTGAATCTTCTTCTTAGTTCTGTAGTTTAACTAAAGGAAGAGACAATGCTTTGTAACTTAAACAGCAAACTTAAAATGGCACCTCCTCTTGAAAATTCCTAATGCATATCCAACCATCAAGAGATGCTGAAAGGCATAAAACCATCTCATCAGCAATAGCACGCAGCTTTACTGTCAAGTGCTCAGTCAGCATTTTTCAAAAATTATTCCCTAGTCAGGAATTGAGTCCAGCACCCAGACTCAGGAATTTGACACTTCCACAACTTATAAGACATTTCAAATCTAATAAGAACATTAGATACTGAAAAAAATATTTTCAGGTGAGAAGCATGCTACGTTCAAACGTCCTCTAAGCTTTATGTCACATACTTAGCTACATAAAGCAAGACATATTACATCACAGCATCAAAGCTAAACTAAACACGAGTGCCGCTGAACTGTCAGCCATCGAAAGCTGAAGATATTTTATTAAAAATGGTAATTCATTAATGTAATAACTCACTAGCTTTGGCATTGCTGTGAAATGGAACGCTCTGGCAAGTCGCAGTGTCCTAAAGATGTAGGCTGCATCGTAATGCTGGGAGTCTATCAGATCCTGTTGAAATCTCTGGATTTCAGGCCAATCCTTGAGTGCAATTCTGATCTGCAACAAAACAGTTGTATACTGTCATACCTACCTGCAGATTTCAACAAATAAAAGTCATGTTAAATATTCTCACTGCAGCTGCTTGCTTTGACAGTGACATGGACCACAAGTCCTCTTCGACATTTGAAAAAGTTAACTCTTCACATTCCAAGATGCCTGAAACAATACACACCCTGGAGACTCTCACTCACTAGATGATTAGGAAATACTACTTGTGCCATGATTTGCTGCCAGTGAAATGCTCATAAAAGTATCCCTATCTTCTTGCTTGCCTTCCTCTCCTGTGTACTCTGCCCACTTCATTTTCCCTCTACCTAAGTTAGGTTCTTTGATAATTCCTGGACTTTCTAACAGTTGCTATATAGCAGTGGTTTTTAAATTCCCTGAATTCATCTCCATAAAAGGTATTGAGTTCTTTGAAGTTAAGATATGAGATGTAATGGCACCATTGTAGAATACTCAAACTTCAGTTTCTTATTTAAAGATTTTGGACTCAATTGTGCATATGCACACAACATACATCACACAGTTTCCAAGTAAACCACTTCTCCTTGCACTGAGTTTCCAGCTCCTTCATATACCGGTCTCCTGTCGCAGAAGCAGCAAGGAGACATGTCATTCAGGCATTCACCCTTTCAACCCATTTACAAATCCCACTTCTGGTTAACAGGAACTGGAAATAATTCAGTCAGTCTTCACTCTGTTGAAATTCTAAGGAATAATAGACTTCTCCACAGAGCTGATGAGCACATTCTCTGTTCCCATTTTGAAAGCTCATCTTCCTCATTTTTGAACAGAGATTTTCCTATCTGGCAAACAAGATTTCTGAGATCACAGCTACAATTTAGGAGGTATATGCAGTATTTTAGTCACCACCATGTAAGTCCTCAAACCCAAAGGTGTCTGAAAGGCTACCTTTTCCAAAGGCACCATCTGGTTCTAAATATTTTAAGAAAGTGAGAGAAAATGGCCTATCCATTTATGATGGCAAAGTAGACAGAGTTCTAGCATATATCTTACTTCTAGTATCTCCTGAGAATAAAACCTCAAGAACAATTACCGTCTGTTTTGGCTGGCAAAGCTGTGTATTGTAGAGCCCATACAAAAGGTACAGAGCACCAACTCGAATCTGGAAAGCATACGGGGGCAAGAAGTACTGCTGTGCCAGTTCTAAAGTCTTCTTTGTGAGCTTATTCCTCTCCAAAGCTCTTATTCTACCACTAAAGTAAAGAAAAAGGAAGCATGTTAAAGCAAGTAACTGTGAAAGGGCAGGCTTTAGAAAATCCATAACGCAGAAACAAGTTTTTTTAGGTTTTTTAAAACATATTACCATATGGCTCATGTTCTGGGAAGTCTTCAAAGATGGCCAGACCTTAAGCTCTCACACAACACTGCATGAAATTCCTTGTATCAAATTAGGTGTAAAGTGAAAAATGAAATACCCTCCAACTGTATTTTTTAATCTCACGTTATGAGCATTGCATCGAACTCCCTGAAGCATCAGCGTTCAAGTCACATGCGTTACTAATGTACAAAATAAACTGAACTAATAACTGCTTTTCAGCATTACACAGGGATCGATGCTTTATTGCCATTTACCTACGCACCAGCCGGGCAAACCTTTTCCAAAAACTATGCCTGCAGGGAAACACGGCTCGTCAACACCCTCCCTTAAGGCCCCCCCGCACTACCAAGGGGCAAGCTCAGCAGCGGGGAGCCCCCGCTGTGGGTTTTGGGAGGGGGAGGACAGACTCCGGGGCAAGGCTCAGCCGCCCGGCACCGCGCAGAGAGACGCG